TATATATATATATATATATATATATATATATATATATATATATATATATATATTATTTATTTGCACATTCAAACTAATTATTGAAAATAAGCTTAAACAACGCAGTTCTTAAGATGTCAATGGGATAACTTAATTTTGTTATGTCCAATCCACATAAATTTGTTAAAAGTGTTAAATTAACCTTATTTGTCTTGGGACAACAGGAATGAAGTGTGTGGAACCCTGCATTTTACTGTGTACTTTGAATTCTGAGCATCCACTCCAGAGGTATTATAGGCTATTATATCAAGAAAACCATCTTAAAATAATAGCAAAACAATAGCAAATGTCGAAGTGCACCTCTAAAGTAAACGACATCCTTTTCGAATGTTAGGCTTATAACGTTTGTTTGTGATTGAGGTAAGGTTGGTTTTATATTAGCACAGTGGATCTCAATCTTTTTTCATCAAGTACCGCCTCATAAAAAAATAGTTTCTCCAAGTACCACCATAATGACCAGTATTGTAATACAGCAGCGTAAATACTGACTAAAAACGTTAACATTTAAATTAAAATGTGCTCTTAAAAGTTAAAAATGAAAGGTTACTGTTCTTAAAAAGTTAAAGAAAAAAAAACTCCTGTAAAGTATTAGTAGCCTATTTATCAACACCTGGAAACATAGGTAATATGTCATCATATTCATATATAAATCATTTTTTTTTATATTTTTTGAAAAATAAATGTAGCATGTACATATGACATATTTGATTCCTCCGTGTACCACTAGAAGGAAGCCCAAGTACCACTAGTGTTACAAGTACCACAGTTTCAGAACCACTGTATTAGTACATTCGTTCAGAGAACCCTTTGTGACGCTCTTTATATTGTTTATCATGGTACTTTGAATATTCGGTCTGAAATCGCATGCAAGTATGACTTCAGAACAACATTAGCACCATTTAACTATTTGACAGTGAAGTGTTTTGATAGTCGCTGGCTGCTAATATGATTTCACTATTTAGGATTTGCTAATAATACTTTTATAAAATTCTATTATAAAGGAGAAAGTCCGAATGTGTGTATAAAACCAACTTTACCTCAATATTAATAATTATATTCTATGAAGTAAATTGTATTAAAATAATAGCAAATGCCGAAGTGCAGCGTTAAAAAGTTAAACGATATCCTTTTCTGATACCATATAATCTTATAACGTCATGGTTGAAATAATTACCTGTCTCTCCCTCTCAGGTCCGCCGGTTTCGGTCTGTTTTACCCTCGTCACATCTCCGCCGGTTCCTGCGGAGGATACACGTGGAAGGTGGAGCTCCGGTGCTTCCTAGATACCTGCATAGAAACCAGACATAGGCTACAGTAAATATTCATGCAGGTGGCGAGGTTTTGAAAGAACAAAACACTTTTGAGACAGTCCTCCGTCGAGTTACATTAATTTACATAAGAGGTAAACTGAAGAGACATCTCTTAAACAACATGACTGAATAAAAAAAATCACATGTAATATAGACATATAATGTTAAAAGATGTCTAAAATGATATTTTGGTAGTGACTTTAAGCCACGCCCACTTTAATTGCTGTAGCTCAACTTTAGTTGCGTCGTAAATTTAACCTGAGATGTTTTACTTCTTCTATTTGCTTTGAACTGTGGAAATGTATATAAATATTTTTATTTTTAAAATCAGTTATATACAGATAGTGTTGGTTAAGTTATAGTTCATTCATTCATTTTCTTGTCGGCTCAGTCCCTTTATTAATCCAGGGTCGCCACAGTGGAATGAACCAGCAACTTATCCAGCAAATGCTTTACGGTGCGGATGCCCTTCCAGCTGCAACCCATCTCTGGGAATAAGTTATTAGTATAATATTATTGTTAATAATAATAATAATAATAATAATAATAATAATAATAATACGTTTATTATATATTAATTATTATAATTATATTATGTTATTATGTATGTAGCCTA